TGAAATGCTTATTGCTTTTGTAGATCATTAGGTTTTGTTTTGGAACAAGTCATGCATTGGGAGATTATTTAGTTATTTACATTTGGGGATGACGTTTTGAAGGATGGATTTGAATGATAGCGCCATTGATGAAAACTGAAAGATGATCTAATAGTAGGAAAATGTGAATTTCGTTACAACCTAATGAGTTAGGTTAGGTTGGATTATTAGAAATGATTTCATTTTCTATTTTAATTAACCCTTAAAGATGATATTTCGAAATATAATAATTTAGCTTCATTACTATGTGTATGTACCAGGTCTTCAAAATTTTCACCCTTATAGCTATATAATATTTTCACCCTTATAGTTATATAATACTGTATATAGAAGTGTATATAATATTCACATTAAGTGAGTTTTAAGTATATTTATTATATATTTGTAGAATTTTTAATAGGTGTATATAGAGGTGTAAATAACACTAACATCACTTCTAAGTATATTTATTATATATTTGTAGCATGTTTTAATTTTAATTTTCTGTACAACAAATTGCATATGGCTCAAGTTACGAGATTCATCATGCACGCATGTTGGGGAGAAAAATATTGTGATGTCAGCGAATAATTGTTGAATCAGCATGGTACGTATATGGTCGGCCGAAGCAAGAAAATATGCCAAATAAATAGCTTATCAGTTATCACAACAACAAAGAGTAGTACTCCCTCCTATTTTTAATAAATGTCGTTTTGAGAAATTGTATAATAATTAAGAATATTTTTTTTACCAATAATAACCCTCATTAATGAGAATAGAGATGGATATTTTGAGAAAATATGGAGAGTGAAATGGATATTTTGAGCAAATATGAAGAGTGAATATGAAAAGACGTAGTGTATTTATTAATTAGATAAGGGTAATAATAGAAAAATATGTACAAAATAGTCAAAACGATATTTATTTAATAAATGATCAATTAAGCTAGAATGACAAATAATAAAAATAGGAGAGAATAATTTTTTTTCTTTTTTCGGGGGTATTCTCCATGTTCTCGAAGTATTCCATATCTTCTTTTCACATTTTGGACATTGGGATGATCCTTAGAGCTTTATTCACACCAATGAGGCAATAATTTTTCTCTGTTTGCTTTTGTTTTCTAGAGGAAAAGAGAAAGAAAATTGAGAAAATTCGGTGCTACCCCTAGAGACAGTATAGTCATGCATCTAGGAACCCTTGATTTCACACACACTCACGTGGGTGTTATATGGGTGTGTGTATATATATAAATCAAGGGTTAGGGGCATGAATACACTGCCCCCTAGGGTAACATCGCCCCTTCCAGAAAATTGATGGATCATGTGAGGAGCAAGAAAATGACACTTCTGTACAGTGAGTGCCCATTCTTCTCACCTTCTTATTTCTTCCCAATTTCCTTTTTTGTTCTTATCTTTCTCTCTCAGCCATTGTTTTTATTATTACTGCTATTGTGGTATAATGTTGGCACTTGTAACTGTCCAGCATTTCTTTATCATTGAAATAGATAATCTCGATTTTAATTTTGATTTCGATGTTCAATTTTCTATTGGGAAAAATCCAGTTACTTTGTTATTCAAAATTCGATCAATTCTTAATTTTTCCTTTTTTTTTTTTAAATATCATTATATATAAACTAATCTTTCTAGATACATCTCAATCTCATCAGGGACAATATTATTACCCCACTTTCTTCACATACCCATCTTAGAGAAAAAAAAAATCTACTGTCCCTTCAGCATCAAGACCCAAAAAATATAAACACTAAAGAAAAACAGTAAAAAAAAAGCAGTTATAAACGCACACAAACACTTCAGCTAAACAATTTTCAGGAACACACGCATTCCAATCAAGAAAACCTTCAACCTCAAGCCTATAAAAATCCCATGATTCCAGGTCCGTAAAGACACCTCTACAAAGAGAAGAAAAAGGAAAAATAAAAATGGCTGCAAATTTGGGATCATTGAGGCAGAGCTTCGTGGAGAAAAGCAAAGAGAGATTGCTCTCTCGAAAATACTACTCAGATGATGATTCTTTTATCATCCGCGAAGGATTATTGCGCCGTCTGTACCGGATCACGAGCGAGAGGTTCTCGAGGTGGTGGAGCCACGTGAAGGGGACCGCGATCAGCGCCTACGAGATGGGTAGATCCGACCCGAGAAAGGTTATTTTCGCGGCTAAGATGGGCGCGGCCTTGTCTCTGGTCTCGGTGCTGATTTTCTTCAAGGAGCCCTTGAGTTATATCGGGCAGTATTCTATCTGGGCTATTCTCACTGTTGTCGTTGTGTTCGAGTTTAGCATTGGTGAGTTTGTGTGTTTCT